CTGCAGCGCCAAAGCTCCAGCTTCGTCTTCGAGGTACCTGCAGCACGGCGCCATCTTCGGAGGTTAGTACCTGGCACATAAAAGAGAGAGAGAGACAGAGTTCTTCTTCTTCCTCCTCTCAGTCCACCATCTCTTCCTCACCCTCTCGCTATCTGACTTCTTGGCAGCAGCAGACTACGGACGAGGGTGAGAGAGGTTACTAGCAGGGAATACAGGCAGAGGTTACAGTGGGCGTGTTGCCCAGGATCTGATTTGACATTTCTGACGCAGGGATTGATTGGACATCGGCAAGGGACTATTTTCGGACTTCGCTATTGCGATCTTGGTCTTCTCCCTCGCCTCCATCTTTTTCCTTCCTCTCCCCCATCTCTCATCTATGGTATCTCCCTATGTGCGTGTACAAGCTTGAATATCCAAGCAATTTTCTAAGTGTTATCATCTAGAGTTGGTGTGCATATCGTGTTTGGAGTTTGGTGTGATGAGGTGTGGTGCTTGTCACGATATGTGGAGCGGTGCAACTTTGTGCGCCCAAAAAAATCATCTTGGAGGGACAGCCCACGGGGACGGAGAAATTTTCCGAAATCCTTTTTCCTTCTCAAACAAAAAGGTGCTCTCTAAAAAAAAAAAAAAAAAAAAAAAAAAAAAAAAAACAAAAAAAAAAAACAAACTGGGTCCACCGTCAAACAGCTGGTAGACTGCAGGTGTTGAGCGAGACTCTACCTCCCCTCTTGGACGTATCGGGCCCCAGTGTGTGTGTCTGGGTACTGTGTGGAAGTTTCCCGGCCGCTATTGGCCTGTAGTCAGGGAATGGGGAGTGGAGCCTCGCCCCACCCCTGCAGCCCCGTCTGGTAGGCATCTCGGGCCATGGGGGAATGGCTGTAACTTTTTCTTCTCTTCTTCTCCATCCTCATCTATGAACTCATGCTTGTCGGTAATAAGTAACCGGACTGTTGCCCCCCAGAGCAGAAGAAGGGGCCTGGTGTTCTTAAAAAAGACAAAAACAAACGGCTCCACCATCCCTTACATCTGATACACACGCAGCGCTTCCCTGGTTATGGTCAAGGGACCCTGAGACAGCAGCGTTCATTACTTGCAGAATCTGACCGGATGTACTACTGCTCAACCTCTCCTTTTCTTCTCCTAGGCTTACAAGCACCTCTGGTGGATTCCAGGTTAACTCTTCCTCTGGCTCAAGCTGTTCCCTACCTTGGGTTTGTAAATTTGTGTCCGACTACCGTCTTCACCCGAATAGAACGCCCGGTAATTGTTGACGTATCTGGACTGAAAGTTGCACCAAATGCAGCTGTAATGACCGGGCGTTCTATTCGGGTGAAGACGGTAGTCCCACTTAGTCCTCTGTAGAGTACTGAAAAAAACAGTAAGCTCTCTCTGGAAATAGAAAAGAAAAACACACTTTCATTCACTCCCTCCAATCTTGTGCCTTTTATCTGTTCCTCTCAGCCTCTGGGAAGCTGTCTGATAAATCTGAAGTCTACTAGAACAGCTTCATTACGACCCCCAAGACATGGTACTTCTGCTAAGTTCCTGTCCCTTTCTCTGGTCTCTTACTGGAACAGGATGTAGAAACAGAAATTGTAGCCCACTGGAACAGGATGAAGGTCGAAGTGAGAACAGACCCAGAAAGGAAACAGACTCTAGAAAACATTTTTTGCAAAAGTGAAAACCAACATTCTTGCCTTCTGAGGCTTCTGGCCCATTTTGATTCAAAATCAACAAACTTGCCTTCTTCCCCAATAGCTGAAATACTTCGCTGCAGAGTTCCCATAATTATCAAGATAGAGGAGGTAGCACTGCTAGCATCATCATGAGGATCTGGCGGCCATTTTCTGGCTGAAGAGGCAGCCCTCCCTACTATCCACATTTCCTGTCTTCTTGGTTATGTATCAGCATCATTTGTATGAGGGACGCTGGACCCGTTTTCCAGCAGGTGCAGCTCCCCACCAATAGACCGGAGCTAGTAGCTGGGCTGTTAGTGGTGGATGTTCATAGCAACATCACTAACAGTCTCAGTTTTCTTCTCAAAAAAAAAAAAAAAAAAAAAAAAAAAAAGCCTTAAACCACAAGTACACCCGGGCCTGGAGGCACCTTACTGCGTGCCAAGCTTTTCCGAACTGCCAGCAGCACACTTTGCCACTTTCTTTCTTTTTTGGCTGGCACCACCATCCATTGTGGTCCGGTAGGCCAAGCCCCCGAAAATTTTGTAGGTGACGAGTTGCATTTTAACTTTTAAGCAAGGCTGGGGCCCGTGTACTGGTGGTTGAAACCTTATGTCTCAACTCCAAATGTGAATCCTGAACCCTTTACCTTACACCACCAGTACATGGCCCCAGGCAACTGGAGAACATGTTTTGAGCCTCTCCAAAAGTTTAACAGGCCGAGGGCCGTAGATAAAATGAATCGGCGGTGGGCAGCCTCCGAAAGGGGCCCATGCTCTTTCGGAGGCCACCCACCACCGATTCATTTTATCTATGGCCCTCGGCCTCCTAAATTTTCGGACTGGTGGTTTAAGCCCAAGTACACCCCGAATGACGCAATTTGTTTCTCTCTTCTGCAAGCAAAAGAATGTCAACCATGTGATTTGTCAACCTCGAGAGATTCATTTTCTTTTTTTGAAGTGTCATGATTTCCAATTTTGAATTTTCCATTCATTTAATCAAGTTTTTTGCTGGTAACACAAACAGGTCCGGGAGGAACACGACCAGGCAGGAAAGCTGAGAAAGAAAAGCCTCGAGTAGAGCCTGGAGGAAATTTTCAACAACCTGCTTTACCTACAGTTGGAACAAACTGGGGACGGAGCAGCAGCGCTTTCCAACAAACTGGTCGCCGTGAAGGGGATTTCAGGAAACCAGATAATGGCCCGAATGCTTATGCCAACCGATGTGTTCCCTCTTTGGCGGGAATGGAAAAGGATGGTCCCTGGAATACAGCTGAAAGAGGTGGTAACAGAAATGATCACAAAGATGGGCCGGATGTTTTCCACCAGGTGCGAACGGAAAGCCACGGTCCTTGGAATAAGGCTGAACGAGGTGATAATGACAATGGTCACATGAATACACGGGATGGTTTCTGGCACAACCGCAAATCTGCTGGCTTTGGTGGCGTCCAAGAAGAAGCACATCACAGACACAACTTTGACGAGCAAGCAAATTTGCGAGGTCCTTATACCAACCAATACGCGCCTTTTTCACTGTCCACGCAAAGCAATGGTACTCCGGTGACAGGTGGCACTGAAAATAGTGCCAATTGCCGAAAGGACGGAGAAGGGAGGTCTTCTGCTCTTTGTGGAGCTCAAGAAGCACAGCATCATGGGCATGTGCAGATTCCAATTTTTCATTCTCGCGAGCCTGTGCGGTTTTCCTCACCAACTGAACTTCCTGATCGTTGGAAAACAAATGGCACAAGTGGTGCAAAGGGTGGTGGACCAAGTGGTGGAGCGACCACTGCTCCTTGGAGTGCAATTGGAACAGCTGGTGGAACAAGTGATGGAACAAATTTTGGACCAAGTTGTGGACCAAGTCATGGAACAACTGGTGGACCACGTGATGGAACAATCGGTGGACCAAGTGGTGGAGTGACCACTGCTCCTTGGGGTGCAATTGGAACAGCTGGTGGAACAAGTGATGGAACAAATGTTGGACCAAGTTGTGCACCAAGTCATGGAACAACTGGTGGACCACGTGATGGAACAATCGCTGGACCAAGTTATGGAACAAGTGGTGGACCAAGTTATGGAACGAGTGGTGAACTATGTGAAGTAGCAAGTAGTGGAACTGCTCATGGAACTACTCGTGGAGCAACCCCTGGTCCTTGGAATACAAGTGCAACGGTTGGTGGAACAAGTGTTGGACCAAGTGGTGGAACGGGTGGTGGAACAAGTGGTGGAACAAGTGGTGGACTAACTGGTGGAGTTATTGGCACTGATCATTGTCAGAACGATGCAAGTCCTCGGCAGGACAGTACCGGGCAGTTTGGGGCTCACTGTGAAAATGGGGGGAAGGGGGATTGCCAACAGGAGAGTGTTTGTCGGAGTTCAACAGGTGTCGATGACATAGACACTGTAGGAGATGTGAGCTGCAAGGACAATCCTTGTTGGGATTCAATGGGAGGTGACGGAGTAGAACTCACTGGAGGACCGAGTCAAGAGGAGAAGGCTCACTTGAACTCAACACGTGTCAATGTAGTAGACAGACACAGCCCTGAGATGATGGCCATGGAAGTGAATTGTCGTCCTGCTGTTGCTAGAGTCGTACGGCACTTTCCTGAAGGTAACAAACCTCAGAAGGGAGATGAATGTCATTCAGGGGTATCTAGTGCTTTGACATCAGGGCCTCAGCAGTCAGGCCACGAAAGCCAATTTTCTGCCACTAGGAGGCAATCCAGGGCTTTTGGCACTACCAGCCGGATGGAGCCTTCTTTCTCGAAGATGCACACAAATCGCGATTCTGGAGGTGAAAATGGAACAAGCAGTGGCTGCAGAAACGTTTTCATTCTACGCCAGTTGGAGAATATGGAAGTCCCAAGTGCCACAGATGGAACAATGCAGTCCCGTCAGCCCACTCACAACGACATGCAATGTGAATTTCGCACTAACACTGGGCAGTCAGAGGCACCCAGTGCCAGTGGCTGGAAGGGGATCGTAACAGAGGAGCAGATGCATTCAGAGATGAAGAGTGATCATGCAATGAGCACCATTCGCAGAACCGGGTCCACTTTGAAGTTAGCACCAGGGATCAATGAGTCCACTTCCAACTGTGTCCAGCAAGCACCTGGATGGGAAAGTGAAAGTGAGTTGTCTATGGTTGTCGCACAATCCAAATCCTTCAGTGAGAGGCCAAGGGAGGGGAATGCATCACATGAACAGGTCCAGTGCCACCTGCTGGGTGAGAATGCAGGAAGCAATAGCCGGAAGGCTGGTTGCATTCAATCATCGCAGTTCAATGTATTTGCCAGTAACCTCTGTAAGGATGCTGAATCTACAAACACTGTAGATGGATTATCAGGGCAACAACACAGCGTCAAAACTCAACTTTCTGTGACCACAGGGCAATCTATGGCCTCCCATGGAAACAGAGTGGCAGCGAACTTCTCAAAGGAGAACATGCAACTGCATTATGCGAGCAAAGAGGGAACATGCAATACGCATGGTATTGACTGTACCACACCATCGCAGGCAGCCTTGTTCCCCAGTTGTAAACACCAAAAGGCAGCTACCAGCACTGCGCAGGCAACACAGCTTGCTATTCAATCATTGCTCTGCAATGAGGACCAGGGAAAGTGCAACAACATGGGTGAAAGTAGCACAGTTTACTATCCTCCGGGGACTGAAGCAATGGTGTATTCATGTGAAAGACGGACTCTTGATGAATATCGTTTACCGACACATGGTAGGGTGAGAACAGATCTCCAGCGTTCAAGCCATCAAAGCCGATGTGCAGGTGGCACCGGGCAATCAGAGACCGCCGTTTCTGAAAGTTCAAGACCCATATGCTCGAACGAATCAGCAAACCAGCTTCCCAGTTGCATTTCAAGGTCACAAATACATGGAGACATTCCAAGGGGTCTTTGGCAATCAAGATTTCCACCTGCTAGTGGGCAGAGGCCCGACAATAGTGGATTGGCACATAAATATCCAGAAAGTGGCTGTCATCCCACTGAAACCACCATTACAATGGTGAATGGGAGTGCAGAGCACAGGAGTCCTAATATGCCAACCAAGCAGAATTTCAGTGATGTTCATCCATTCAGGGGAAACTGGGTTGCCAACCCCGAAGTCGACCCTTGGACACCGACGAGAAGTTCAACATGCAATCAGATGGTATGTGAATCTCGGAGGCCACAGCATGGCCCCTCTGTGATAGAAATGGAGGAAAACCAACAGCCAATAGCTTGCAGCAGTTTCACATCGGAAGGACAACTACCTGTAGCTGGCTGGAAGACACCTCTTTGTGAAAAAGCAGAGCTGACTGGTCACAAGAGTTGGACTGGAAAGGCTCCTCCTCGCAACAGACATCATATGACAGAAGGGTGTGTTGCTGGTCATTTGAATATCAGCCATACTCGAGGAGGAGATAAAAGAGAGCTTGGTGATGAGGAGGGCTCCTCTCCTTGTCAAGCATTCGAGCTATGCAATCACAATATGTGGGCCAAAAAGGACCTTCAGAATCAACCATCTCAATTGGGAAGGAACGATGCAGATGAGCTGAGTGGTAGTGATGCTCCTGCCCCAGACGCAAGGCGACTTTGTCTCTGGAAAAGATCTCCTTCCGGGATTGGAGGGACGCGGGATCCTAAGGATAGCCATGGTTGCCGTGGCAGTATGCATGCTGACCAAAAGGAAAGCAAGAATGTTCATGGGGTGGAGGAAAACGGATCCCATGCTCAGACTGGATGTCGTTATAGGGCTGAGAAATATCGATCTACGAGGGAAGAAGTCAAGCTTCCTGGTGAATGGAACATGAGCAGCACTTATGCATCTGAGGAAAGACAACTCAGTGTCCAGGAAGGATCGCTACATAGAGTGGCAGAGACATGTAATAACGAACCATGGGCCACTGGGAATCCCCGGTGGCGCATGGGATTGGGGGAAGGGCGATTGGCTGACCAGCCAGACACGTACATTCATCCCATGGGAGAAAGCAGATATCATGAGTGGAGGCGCGCTCCCTCAAGAACAGACAGCTCAATCAATTGCAACATCGCAGGTGTGCAGAGCCCTGCCAATGACAGGTCACGAGGGCTAGGAAACTGTGCCAGACAGCTAACGATCAATAGGAATAGCATTCATACTCCAGAGAGACAGCGGACGCTTGGCCAAAAGACTGCTCCTTTTAGATATGTCGAGCATTTCGATGGCAGGCAGGGCATGCCGGATTCAATGAATACAAATCGTCCCCTGCCTGTGGAGGGATGGAGCCTACTTGAGGACCTCCTCAGGGACAGTCTTTCTTCGGCAGAGGAAAGACAGCTTGGCAATGTCGAAGTCACTGCTGGTAGGGCTGCTGAGGCTGGCACTCATACAGGGGCTCTTTGGGATAACAGGTCCCAAAGGGGAAGGGACCTCATGGACAGGCCAACTGACAAGTGTAGTGGATTCTATTCATCAGAGGAAAACAGAGTCGCTAACGGCAGACCCAAGCAAAATACAGTCCCTACTGGTGGAGCTGTGGAGCCTGGCACCCACGTGGCCATTCCTTGGGATTGTATGTCACAAAGAGAAAGGCGAACCATGGACCGCCGACCAACCCGCAGGTGTGCTGCAGGAGTCGGCTCGTCACAGGAAAACAGACTTGGCCACTCAAGAACATCATTTTGCAAAATGGAAGAGACATGTGACAACGAGATGCAAGGTGTGCCGAGTGATTATTTACCACCGAAAGGAAGTCGGGATAACTTTGAAAAGTCTGCAAGGAATCAGGATATTGAGATGGTGGCTTTGCTGGCATCTCCAAGTGATAAAATAGCTAGAGGTCAATGTCAGCCGATTTTCGATAACCAGGCCAACGATTGGGATACAGATTGTGACAAAGTCGAGAGGGTCCAAAAGCCTATCATTACTCCTGCTGGCCAAGGCCTTGGCTTTAAGTTTACGCAGGGGGAAGAGGACAACCCAGCAGGAAGCCCCGAACTGGGTTTTGAAAACCTGATTGAGGAATGGAACGGGAATGCGGATTGGGAAATTGACTGTAGTAAGGGGGATAGCGTGCATATGACGATTCCTGCTGATCTTGGCGTCGGACATCTGGCAAAGAAGCAGTACCATGCAGCAGCAACTCCTTTGGACTCCGGAGGAAGTCATCTCACTCAAAACCGAGCGCATCGGGCCTTTGCGCATCCGTTTGAAGAGTGGGATATGGAGTGGGGTACATCAAACAAGAGAAGAGACGAAATTTGGATGCCTTCAGGTCAGCTCGAATTTGGATGTCCTCCATGCAAGCAGGACAACCCGGCAGCGCTTCCTGCAGCGTCAGAAAGTGTTGAGTTGACTCAATCCCAAGCCAGATGGGAATTGGAAAACAACTCCATCAAGGATTTGGACTGGAATCACCTTGTGGATACAGCCCGTGGACATCGGAGTGACACTGTGTTGAACACTGCATTCCGAAAGCTTTGGCAGTCCAACACTTCGCCGGTTGGCAAAGATAATTTTCACCCTCCTACCAAGACTACCAATACTACCAGGAGTCACAGAGGGAGCAGTCAGTTGTTGCCAGCGACAGGGCGAGCCAAGAGTCAAGGTAATAGCCGCGTGTCATTGCTATCACGAAAGCACAGTGCACTGCAAACATGGCCCTCAGAGCTCAGCAGGCAAGGGAAACCAGATATTGGTGGGTTTTGCTTTTATCGCTCCAAAAGACCTGCTGCCGGGAACCATGAATTGAGAAAGTCCAAGAAGAGAGCTCAACATTCGACGGACAGCGAAAATGCCCATGATAACATCTCAGCAGTGAGCGGCCCGACTGCAAGCATGTAAGAAAACTATGGATTGCCT